AGTCCCTGTGTGTGCTTATTGCCATCCTACAGGGTCCTTCCTGCCTTCTTCCAGCACGAGCTTTGTGAGGACGTGGCCTTGCCTGCCTTTCCCACGGTGTCTGGACACAACTGCATGTGTGAACGGATGAATTAATGAATGGGTGAATGAATGAATAGCGGATGGGCAGGGCTGGGTCACTCCTGCCCAAAGGCAGATGGTGGGTGGCGGGAGGGACAGAGGCTGCTGGGTCCATGTCGACTGCGGCTTCTCCAAAAGCTCCTGCAGGCAGGGTGGATAGGGGCCCCTGTTCTCCCGTGGGTGCAGGCCGCGGCTGTGCACGCCCACGCAGCCCCGCAGGCCCCAGCCCCGGCAGGAGCCCTCGGAAAAGAAGTTAAAGAAAGCAAGCCCCGGTTTGTAGTGTTTGCCAAGTCCTGGGGTGTAAATACTCCCGTGTGGCTGATTTGCAGATGCCAAGGTGACCTCACTGAAAGCCAGACGCCCTCTGCTCAGTGGGGTGGCCTCTCGCTGTGCGCACAGCCACACGACCTCTGCCCTGTGCAGTGCCCCTGCACCGACTGCTCACGGCCATCCTTCACCCATCCCACGCTGCCCGGGACCTCCAGCTCGGCCCTCCAGGGACAGCCCACAGGGACTCAATTTAGCCACCGTGACCAGCCCAGGACACCAAGGAGGACCCAGTTGAACTGAGGCACCCTCCCGTAGGTGAGCACAGCAGGCTTCCTGAGGGGTCCCAAGTGTCCTGGAGGGGCCAGGACAGCTTCCCCTCCCACCCGGAACACTCCCCACCACACTCACGCATGGCGAGGCCCACTCTAGCATCACCAGAGGAGAGGGAGGAAGAAGGAAGGCCGCTGGTCATCGAGCACGGCTTCAACCAGCACTCCTGCTCTGCCCCCTCCCTGCCCCCGCAGACCCCAGCCTGGCGTCAGAGGAGGGGACAAGCCCCCCACAGCACTCGAGGTCCTCCTGGGCCCCCAGGCCTGCAGGTGTGTGGCCAGAGTCCTCTGGGGACTCCCTCCTCCCCATGGCTGGTAGCTCAGGGGTCTCCACTTAGCCTGGACACTTGGCTTGGCCCCCCAAAATCCCAGCAGCACAGACTGTGCTCACCACCCAGCTGGATGTGCCCCCTGGGCCCTCAGCCCTGTGTCCCACTGTCTCTCCACTCCCACACCCCATGCCCCTCACCCCACTCCTCACCCATCCCCCACAACACTTACTCCACCCTTCACCCCTCACCCCCACCTCACCTCTCACCCCTCACCCAAACCTCACTTCTCACCACCCCTCACCCCACACCCACACCCCTCACCTTCACCCCTTACCCTTTACCCCACAGCCCTTGCCCCTCAGCCCTCAACCCACACTAAGTATATGGCTGGAAGTGTGGGGCCCCTCTCCCTGACGCTGGAGGGCCCTGGCCTGGAAAGTGGGTGACCCAGGACTGGGTCCCTGCTCAGCCTGGGAGGTACTCTCCAGCCCTGGTCAATGGCCACCGGGCTGAGCCACCTGGCCCTGCGCCTCAGGGAAGATAGGGTGCAGGGTCCCTCAGGGCTGCGTCACCCACAGTCACCGGGTTGCCCAAAGCTGCCCTGTTGATTGCGAGACTGAGACCAACTTGAGGCAAGAACTCAGCTCGGAGCAGGGCCCTGAGCCCCTCTACCGGAGCCTGAGACCAAACACAGCAGACAGGCTTAGAGATGCCCCAAGGTATTCGCTCAGCAGGACACTGCTCTCATTCGCTTGGGACAGGTCCTGTCTCAGTGCAGCAGTGGAGAAGACATGCTGGTATGAAGCTGTCTGGCCTGCTGACCCCAAGGCCAGGTTAAGAGCACCAGGTCTGGGTCTATACATGACCTTGGCCAGCAGCCACACACTTCCTGCGGGATGGTGCCTTCAGAATTACATTGCCCAGGCACTGTATGACCTGGGCACCCTGTGACCTGGGCACTGTAGATCCCAGGGCTGCAGGACAGTGTCTGAGGCACCAGCAGTCCACCCCGGGCTGCAGCAGCAACTCTGGCTCTGCTCCTAGAAGCCCCCGGGGACACGCTCACAGGCAGTGACCTCTGGCCAGCTGGGCCCTAGATGCTGGACCTTTCTCACCTGGTGGTGGCAGGGGCCTGGTGGCGGCAGGGGCTTGGTGGCAGGCAGAGGTGCCTGGCGATTCCTGGTGGGTGAGAAGACATCTCCTCCATTCAGGGCCGCGTTCCCGCCCCGGCTCTGCTACGCAACCAGATTTCTCATCTCCCTTTGCTTGTGCTTGTCACGAGCTATTTCCTTCCAAATACTATGACACCCAGCAGGAACTTGGCAATGTGGATGTTGCCAGCACTGGGGACTGGATTATTCAGCACATTAAATTACTAAGTTTGTGTTTGAAGTTTCTGGGCGAGCATCTCAGACAGGCTCAGTAGTGTGACAGATCCCTGTCCTCCTGCTTGGCCTATGGAGGGACGAGGCCAGTGCCAGGCCCCACGCCAGGACTGAAGGCCAACTCTAAGAAATCACAAACATGCTTCCAGGGCCCCTCCATGGCCCAAAGGGAGCAGGGTGCCCTGGTACCAGAAGACGCTGCAGACAGGTGGGACCTGGCCTCCCTGGAGGGAGGGGCTTCCCGAGAGGCTGGGGGCTGAGCAGGGCCATCTGGGGAGACCACATGGCCGCACACAGCCCTCTATCTTGTGTTCCTGGGGCCCCTGGCCTTGCCGGGGCTGCTCTCTGGAGGGCTGAATGACTGAGGAGCCCACGGAGGGATGCTGAACTGGGGGCTGCACCCCTGACCTGCCAGTGGTGGGCCCACAGCCAGGGCTGGGGAACACACATGCTGCCCTTGGGTGGAAGCCCCACTGGAGCCCAGCCCAGCTGCCCTTCCTGTGCCTGCCTGGCCTCCTGGCCCTTCTCCTCCTTGGGGGACCCCTGTCCACCTCCTTCGAGTTTCTGAATCAACCTGGATGGGCACATCCAAGGCCTCCAGGTCCCATGAAACACTTACTTCCTGGGTCTTCAGCTTGATCTTCAACCTGCCAATAGCTTCTCTCTCTAAGCTCTTGCCTCCTGCCAGCCGCTTAGAGGATGAGAGGCGATTCACCACGACCTGGGGCCTCCTCTGGGCACTCATAGCCTGCCCCTGGGCGTGACCAGGTGGCCAGTGCTTGTTGGCCAGGCAGAGGTCATTTGCCTCTGCACTTCTCCCTGCCACAGGAACAGACCTCTGAATGGCTCGTGGCCATGGCCTGGGACCCTCCCCCAGGCTGGGCAGGCAGTCAGCCAGCTCGTACACAGTGAGCTGACACCAAGTCCTTCTCAGGCTCCAGCAGCTGCCCACCTTCCCTCCCCAGGCACTGGCCACTCCAACCTGGGGCTGTCATCGACCTTGTCTATTTCCCCCAGAGGGTCTGAGTCGTGGCTGGGCCCCCCACCCAGGGCCTGGGAACATGTGGGAACTGACATGGGTCCCCCCATGCGTGTCTGCTTGTAAGAGAGGTAACATGACAGGGAGCGAGAGAGACAGAGGGACACAGAGATAGAGACACAGAGAGAGAGTGACAGAGACAGAGAGACAGAAAGAGGGAGACAGACACAGAGAGACAGAGAGAGAAAGATGGAAAAAGAAAGGGACAGAGAGACAGAGACAGGCACAGAGAGACAGAAGGAGAGAGACAGAGAGAGAGACACAGGGAGGCAGGGAGCGAGTGATCCGGCCTGAGAGAGATAGGCAGGTTGGTGGGCTAGCAGAGGGTCTCTGTCTCATGTGCCCAAGCCGACGGTAACTCACGGGCCCCAGGCTGGAGCGTGTGGGGCTCCGCCAGGGGCCTGGGCTATGGAATGAGTGGGACGGTTGCGGAGTCCAGTGCCGAAGCCCAGACCTTAGATGTGGCCCTGATGGTTAGCATGGCAGCCTGCCCTAAGTGGTCTTCCCGGCTGGGGGGGCAGAATCCAACCAGGCCCAGCGCAGTCCCATGACTCAGCCCGGAGGGACAGTGGCCAGGCAATGCAGTGGCCGCCGAGATTGTCCACTGCTGGGCAGGCAGCCCAAGCAGCATTTTAAACCCGAGCAGCTCTAGGAGTCCTAGGGACGCCCCCGACCCCTGCCGAGCCACCGCCCCTCCCCGCAGCCCGACGCGGTGCAGCGACTGCAGGGCGAGGAGGGCGGACCGCGCGCCGACCTTGCGGCGTCCCCACCCTCCCGCAGCGCAGCTTCCGCAGAGGAAATCCCGGAGGCCGGGGGAGGGGGCGGCCGCGCGGGGCGGAGCTGCGGCGACGGCCCCCAGAGCCCTAGGCCCGCAGTGACCTTTTGGCGTCCGGGCCTGGCGCCCGCCCTGGGCACCTGGGACACCGACCTCTCTGCCGCCTCCCGCGGTCCCCACCCCAGTCGCAGCCTCCCAGGCCCCGACCGCCCCAGGGGCCTTTGTCTCACTAAAATGAAATTCAGCGTTTCTCCTTTTCTTGGCGACACTTTATTGCACTGAAAAATAGCCCCAAGCCGGTCTGCCGGTCTCATCCCTCGAAGGGCTGGTTGAGGGGGTTCAGGGATCTGAGGACGCCCTTCTCCCGCCCTGCGGTGCAAGGGGCAGCGGGGGTCGGGAGTGCGGGAGGCGACCGGGGGCGCAGTTACCAAACACGCCGGGGCCCAGCGGAATGGGAGGCCCGGCGACCCCCGCCCCTACCCCCTCCGCCAGGCTGGCAAGGACTGTTTCAACTCGCGGGTTCGCACGTGCGGGGGCCCAGCGCCACGAGGCTCCTTGCACAGCGAGAGGGGGTGGCAGTGAGGAACTTGTGTGGGGGGAAGGCAGGTCTACACTGGGGGCTCCGAAAGTGGTAGGGGCAGTGTTTGGGATTTCGAGCCGCAGGCTTGGAGAGCTGGCGTCCCGCGGTCCCGGGAATCTCGCCCGGGTTCTAAGGCGAGAAGCGCGCGGCTCTGCGGTTCCGGCCCCGCCCCTCGGCGTCCCCTCCCCCGCCCTCCTCGTCATGCCCGGCGCGGGCGGGGGGCGGGGAGCTCCTCCATGTGACGCGCCCTCCCCTCGGTGCCCTTCAGCCGCCGCCGCAGTTCGCGCGGTGCCACATGGACCCGGCCGGCCCGAGCGCGTTCCGCCACTGACTGCGCGCCCGGCCCTGGGAAGGTAACCTGTGTCCCCGCGCGCAGCCCGCTCCCCGGTCCGCCCCTTCCCCGGCTCCGGCCCCGGTCCCCGTCCCCCCGGCCCTTCTGCCCTGGCTCCCTCCCCGCTCCCCTCCTGGCTCCGCGCTCTGGGTCCAAGCGGGCGCTGTCCGCCGGCGCGGTGCTGAAGCGGCCCTGCGGTCCCCGGCAGCACCTGCTCTTTCTCGCTCCTTCTCCCCAGTCTCCCGGTCTCCTCCCTCGTCCTCTGTCTTTTTTCCCCCTTTCTCCCGGCGCGCTCCCGCTGAGAGCCGTTGGGCAGAGCCCAGCACTCGCCGGCAAAGCCTAGGGGTGCGGCGGCCGCAGCCGGCCAGGGCGGGGGTGGGAGCGCTGGGGGTGTCTCGGCCCTTGCGGGAGCTCCCGCAGCACCCGAGCCTCTCTGCGCAGGGCCCTGCCGTGCCTTCCTTCCCTCCCGCCCTAGGAGCCAGGGGAGAAGTTTAGAAGAAAATCTGCTTTGCGGCAAATGCTCCCCTGTGCACCAGCTCTCTAAGGGGCCCTCCCTGCCCCACCACCCCTCCCGGGGCGGGTCTCCTTCCTCTGCGGAGGGAAAAACTGTAGAACAGCGGATCTCCAGGGACCCAGGTTTCCCTGACAGGAGAGACCCCACCAAGGAGGCCACTGCAGCTGCTGTGATTTTACAGAAAGTCCCCCCAAAACACAGGAGGCCCACCTGCCTGGGAGGAGGACTCAGGACCTGCAGCGCCCACCCGAAGCAGAGGCGGGTGGACGGTGGTCTGCTCATTTGTTCCCTGTGGGTTGAGCCCCCAGGAGTTTCTTGCCTCCACCCCAATCTCTTCTGCTGTGGGCTGGGGGCACGGGAATCTCCTCAAGGGTGGAGGCTAGCCCCCAGTACTCCTTGGTCAGAGGCCACAGGAGTCTTCCCTGGAGGGCACCCACTCAAAGACCCACCCACCCTAAGCCTTCTCCATGGTCGGCCTCAGGGCCACCATGGAGGCGGCAGGCCAGGTTCTGGGCTGCAAAGTAGGAGCAGTCACCTTCAAACGTCCCATGGGCCCCGCCCCCACTTCCTGGCAGGCTGGTGCCAGACTCCTCTGAGCTGTGTCCCCCATGGGGTGCGCACTCTCCTACTTCCCTTGCAAACCCCCCAGGGGCTGGGTGAGACCACTTTGCAGGTTCTGCTGGGGTCTTGGAGCCTGCACATTCTGGTCTGGGTATGGGGTCAACCCCCTCCCCAATAGGGAATTTCCTAGGCACCCCCTCCCAGTGGAGGGGTCCAGCCTGCAAGGTGTTGGGGGCAGGGGACAAATGACGGTGCCTGTGGCCCAAACCTTGGCTCAGGAGGAGGTTGGGCCGAGGCAGGAAGAAGCCCAGGCCTGGTCGGGGTGACCAGTGACCACTTTGCTCTCCCCCAGGAAGAGGACTCCTGGCTACACTTGAATGTGAGTTCTGACCCTTGGAGAAGTCGTTGAGAAGTCGGAGCCATCGTCATGGAGTTCGTGATGAAACAGGCCCTGGGAGGTAGGGAGTGGGCAAGGGATGGGGAAGGGGCCATGGGTTGGACCTCAGGACAGGCAGGTCTAACTGCTGCTCAGCCCACACACCAGGAAGCACAAGCACGACCCCCTGCAGACCCCACACACAGCCTGTGTAAACACACCTGCACCCCCTCTGAATGAGCCCAAGGGAGTCAGGACGCCAGCACTGTGTCCTGCAGCACCCCTGGACCAGCATTCGGGTGGTGAGGGTGCAAGCAGGACTAGGCAGGTGGGGAGGGGTGCCTGGCACACAAATGCAGGAGATGCAGGCGACTGAAGCAGAAAGCCAGGTGGGAGCAGCGCTGGCGGTTTGGTGAGGACCCTGCGGGCTTCCCCTGGGCGAGGGGGGGGGGCAGCACCATCCACAGGGAGGTGGGGCTGGCTGGATACAGGAACAAAAGAAGGGGTCCAGAACAGCTTCTGTGACTGACTGCCCCCCAAGGAGGCAGTGCAGTCTCTTTCAACCTGCCGGTTGCTATTTGAAGGGAATCCTGTCTCTACCTGGCCCATGGTCATCTTTGTGGACAGAGACCATGCCCAGGACTGCAGGGCAGTTGAGGATAGTGCTGGGTCCCTGGGCTAGAGGTGGGTGGGGCAGAGGGCTGAGGGGCTGGTCCATGGTGGCACAGACTTGTCCGGCAGAGCTGTGGGTCTGCTCAGGCCTGCAGGCCCTGGGAGTGTCCTGGGCAAGTCTCAGGCCTGCCCAGAGCCAGCCATCCTGTGTACCCCAGCTTCCCCATGCAGCACCAGTCCCCAGAGCTCCCATGAAGGGAGCCTGCAGCCAGTGTCTGACCCCATCACGGGGCAGCATCACCCTTGGACCTTTGGCCTCTGTGGGGACCGTTCTGACCTGGCGCCATTCACAGCCTCATGTGAGCAGGTCGCACCTGGGAGTGTTTCTGCAGAGAGGGGAGCTGGCTGGGGCTGTGGTGCAGGGCCTGGGCAGACAGAGGGGCGGGCGCCTCTGCCCCCAGGACAGGCGGACAGGCGCACAGGCCTGGGCTGTCTCCTGGAGGCCGTCTGTGCTTTCACTCAACACAAATTAAATGAAAAGCTGTTTGAGCCTGGCCTGGGGCCACATCGCTGAGACTTCATGGTCAAGGTTGGGCTGGAGGTTGGGGCTAATTATAATGATTACGTCACCAAGACATGTTTCCGGGACAAGCCAGCATCCTGCACCAGGAGGGACTAGGTTCCTCCCGGCTGTCACAGACAATTAATTAGGTGGCTAATTCAGGCCCTGAGGTGGGTTTTTAAGAAATCTGAAATATCTGATTTGTCTGTCTGCATGGCTGAAATTAGTGGGGTAATTGCCAGCCTGAGTTCCCTCTTTGTTTCCCGTTGCCTGAAGTTTCCCCTGCATGGGCAGTGGGGCGGGCACGGGGGAGCTCCATGGGGGCTGGGGGGCGGCCAGTGGACCTCGGGGGCTCCCTGGCCCAGTACGGCCCAAACCACCCCAGATTTGCTCTGAGGAGCTCCTGGTACGTGTGACCCAGGCCGCTGTGCCAGTGTCAGGGCAACTCCCCAGAGACCTTGCTTCTGCCCCCAGCTCTGCTCTCCACCGGCTGAGCTGTGTCACTCTTGGTGTGAGTGACAGGGAGACAGCAAAAGCATTCTGAGGCAGACCAAGGCTCAGATGCGAAGAAATCGACAGGCAGGGGAGCAGAAGGGGCCCAGGAAGGGGGCCCGAGAAAGGTGGACCAAGAAACAGGGACCAGGGACCAGAACGAGTTGGAGAAAGAAAATGACAGCCCAGAAACAGAGACTGAGAGAGACAGAGACAGAAATGCACTCAGCACAGCAAGAAACAGACAGAGATGAAAACAGAGAGGCTGCAGCAGAGGGGGGAGAGAGAGGGAGCCACAGGGAGAGAGAGAGAGAGAGAGAGAGAGGCGAGGACTGTCCTCGTGTGTCTTGAGCCTCCGTTCGGCCTGTGCTGGGGACAAAAGGATGCTGGACTCAGGAATCTCACGTTGGGTAGACAGGTGTCCCTGGCTCCCCAGGTGCGTGACCACTCTGAGGCTCCTGGCCTGGTTCAGGGGACAAGGGGAGGAGCCTGAGCTACATCTGGCCCTGGGTCTCTCTGCAGCCTCCACTCATCTGCACTGGCTGGTAAGGGGCAGCCCTTGCCTCGCAGTCCCCCCCACACCCCTGCTGAGCAGCAAGTTCCTGGGACGTCCCACACAGCAGGGCCTCGGTGAGACCCCAGGAGCAATAGGACAGCAGGGCTCTGCATCTGATGCAGTGGGCAAGTAATGGCCTGGAATTCAGTTCAGGAAGGAGCTCAGGTTGCCAGCTGGGGTGGCCAGGAGCTCTAGGTGACCCCAGGCCTTTCCAGCAGGCCAGTGTGGACGCCTGGACCCTGTCCAGTCTCTGCAGCTCCCGGCGGTATTCCGGCTCTACTGCCTGCTGAGGCTCCCCCCCCATGGGTAATCTGGGAGCAAGGCGAGGACCTGGGGTCACCTGCTACACCCAGGAAGAGAAGGTGGAGGGAGGCAGTAGCTGGGGGTTGGGGGGCCTTGCCTCTGAGGCTCTGGGTGCAGGTGCAGCCAGACCTGTTTCTGGGCAGGGGAGTGCCTAGTGGACAGGAGAGTGTCCAGGCCTGTGCAGAGGCTCTGGGCCCATTTCCTTATCTGTCCCCACCTCTGACTTCCCCACCCGCACCCCTATGCCACAGGGCACGTACCTCCTTCCTGCCCCAGCCTTGGCCTGCAGGCACTGATCTGGATGACCCCACCCCCTTCCCACCAGCCTTCAGGGTTGGTGGGAAGGGAGGGTCCCCCAGCCAGGGTCCCCCTGCCTCCTCACGTCCTGTGGCCCCACACCTGGTCCCTGTCTTGTCTGGGCCCACACGGTTGTCTCAGGGGTTACTCATGTGATGTCTGGGCTCCTGGCTGCAGGGTCCAGGAATCTGAGCAAAGTAGCCAGCCAGTGCCGTGGGCCTCACTGGGGCAGGACAGGGAAGGATGGGTGGCCTCCTGGCATCTGTGTCCCCTCTGCTCACCACCTCTGCCGTGCCAGGCACAGCCCCTCCCCATGTTGGTAGCTTGGGCATTCCAGGGCCCTGGGAAGGGATGGCTGCCCCATCCAGACTGCTGGTCCCCTATAACCAGGCTGCTGCGCAGGCATCCTCTCATCCCTCAACGCTCGAAGCTGCCTTGCTGGGTGAACACCTGTTCACCCTCAGCCGCTGCCAGGACAGCTGCCCCCGCCCACCGGCAGGCACCTTTAGGACCTGCCAGGCACAAGCCAGGCTGGGTCATTCTCCCCTTTGACTCTGCAGGTATGTGTTGAGTGCCCACCATGTACGGGGCCAGGGACCCCTGGGAGGGGCATGGAGGAGGGGAGAATACTCCTGGGGCCAAACTGTGGAGGAAGGCGTGTGCAGCAACTCGTTCTTCTCCCGAGAATGCCCTGAGGGCTCGCCAGGTCCTGGACGGCCTCCAGACTTCAATCTAGCCAGTGTGGCCCCCAGGGGGAGGAAGCGAAGGCTGAGTGGTAACAGCCCGAGGGGAGTAGGAGGATTACCCGTGGCTCCTCCTCCAGGCCAGGTGTATCTGCAGGGATTTGGGACGCAGGGTCCTTAGAGTGCAATTTAAAGAAACTGTTTCCCCAGGGCCAGGCAGTGACAAATGGCCTTGAGCTGTATTTACACCCTGGAGGGAGTGTGCGCAGTCAGGGATGATGCTATCGGGCTAAATCCTAAATTGGGCAGAGGTGGATGCTGTGGCCTGAAAGACCCGGTCAGTGCCCGCTCCCTATCTTTCCACCTTGGGGTGACGCTCCTTGTCTGGAACATGCTCAGGTCCTCGGGGATGGCGGCTCAGGGGCGGGAGGGCTCCAAGGAGGAGGGAGCTTGGAGGGCTGCAGGCCACGCAGGAACAAGCTGTGCAGGGCGAGTGGAAGGTGACAGCCTCCCGGCAGGGCCCGCACCAGCCCAGCCTCCTCACGCACGCCCTGCTCCGCCCCGGCCCGGCAGGCCTCTGCCACTTCAGGGCCTTGGCCAGTGGGGACAGGGTCCTGCAGAGAGTCCACCTGGGCCTGGCTGACCAGCTGGTCTGCACCCACTGAGAGGCCGGGTGCCAGGTCCTGTGGCCCACCTGGGGGGAGGGAAGAAACGAGTGAGTGGGGGAAAAGCTCTGTGCGGACATGCTTGTGGGTTGAGAATGAGAGGAGTGTCACAGCCCCCCAGGCCAGGGTGGACAGTGAAGTGTCTCACGGACACGTCCAGCAGGAAGGCCGGGGTCCCCCCTGCGGCAGAGCCTGGGGGGCTGTGAGCTCTCAGCCAGGACACCCCAAGGGGCTTGTGGAGGATCCATCCCCAAAGGTGTGGCGGTGACAGCATCCGCTCGAGATGTGGGGCAGGATCTCTGTGAGCAAAGGCCACCAGAGCCAGGAGCCCAGCAGGGAAGCCCTTCCCCCAGCCACACTGTGGCTGGTGCCAGCATCTCCCCATCCCTCCCGGGGCCCAGGGGTTGGGGCACCTTCTTCCTCTATACCTGGCACCAGTTGGGGCTCTATCCCTCCCCATCTGGGACCCTCCATCACCTCCCAGAACCTTAGGTCAGGGCCATGGAGGAAGCCTGGGACCTGAGTGGTTCTGTCCTGACTTCCAGTGTCCACCCACAGGCTGTACACCAAGGCTGTCCTATCCCGGGCCAAGGTCCTGAGGGCAGGACTGGTCCCACTGGCTGCCCAGCCCTCCCTGCTCTTGCCCGGTTGGGACTCGGCTAGCTCTGTCTATTAGGGGCCTCTCATGTGCTGTTGCTGGTCTAGGCAGTTTGGGGTCCTGCCATTTCCTGCCCCATTGGGACACTGGCAGGGCCAAGTTTTCTGGAATCTGGGAGGATGGTGAAGCTGCAGGTTGAGCTGGGCTTCAGGGAAAGTAGCAGATCAAAGGGGAAGCTCTTGAATTCCACATGGGGAAAATGCTTTTGGCTGCAAGTTACAGAACTAGAGGGAGAGTACCTTGGGAGACACTTG